TAGTCATTACTGCTCAATTCCAACAAATTATAGATTGAGAGGAGTAATAAATAATTCAAAAGATCCAAATATTTTATTTAATGAACATAAAAAATACATTATTTTGATGCAAATTTTTAAAGTTGAAAGAAATACACAAGAATCTAATTGTTATTATTTTATTGGTAGAGAAATGCCAACAGTAACCATTAACCTGAAAAGCGAAATACATAGAATTAGATAATTCTTAAAATATGTAATTTTTGTATAGAATTAGATAATTCTTAAAATATGTAATTTTTGTTCATTTGAGATGTGAAAAAGAAAATTATAACATATCAATATTTTACTTTTAGCATAAATGCTATTCCAAGCATACTTCTTGCATAGACTCTTCTTCACCCTATCACAATTGCAAGATGTAAATTATTTTGTTATATAGTCAAAGAATTAAACCAATAATAGTTCTTATAAGTTTCTAATGAAAAAAGTATCTATTAATAATTTGGAAATAAATTTAAAATGAAATGAAATACCTAAAGATAGTTTATAAATAAAATTTATAACAAAGTAAAGTACATCTGTTGACTTTGTAACTTTAAAATCGCAACGTAACCAATTTTTTTGTGCATATTAAAACTTGAATTGTTTCTGGCTTCAAAGAGCTATGACATCGATCAAGTACTCTACCTCCTGCACTAAAAGTAGACTCAAAAGCTATCTTACTAATAGGAATACAATAATATAGAATGAGTCATCCTTGATAAAACTCAAAACTTCAAAGTATTTGCCTTCCACCAATTTAAGGCATCAAACTTGCTATTTTCTTCATAAACATAAAGACCCTCCTCTAAATAAATATCCAAAAATAAATATCCAAATCAGATTTGAGAGGTTTGATGGAATCCAATTCTTTTGCCTATAAGTCAAATTCACTCCTACCCTTAGTTTTACTTTTACTTTTATTACTGCCACAAAAAACAGAGCTACTAACACAAAAAATATCATTACTATAAGAACAAACTTGCATATGTTGAGTTTGTTTGACATCCAATGTATAAGAAATAGCCTAATCATTATAAATCTCATGTGAGGAGTGACGAACGAAATTAATATTCAATTCAGCTTCCCAAGATTGGAAAATATTCGGAAAGCAAAACTCAATAAGTTTCATTTTAAATAGTGGATCCAAAACTGCTGCAATAGCCATGAACAAGTTACAGTACTCTCCCTAATATTTATCAAATTTCTCTCTCATTTTGGAAGTTATTTTTCTTATATACTCTCTTTCATCTAAATACTTCTCATCTAAAATTTGCTTAATTTTCCAAATCTCAAGAAGAAATAAATTTGTTGTTGGATATGAACAACCTAAGAAAACATTAGTGACATCATTAAAAACCTCCAAAAATAAACTCACTTCTTCTACTCTTTCCCAATCTTCACTATATGGAAGCCACTGATAATATGAATATCTCTCTTTGTATCTAGGAAAAGCCTCCTTAAAAAACTAAAACAACTTCTAACATTGTATAAGTTGAGTTCCATCGAGTAGGTACATCAGTTCCATCGAGTAGGTACATCAAGAATCATTTTTTTTTTTTTTAAGTAGGCAATTGTAGTTGCTTTACAATTTCAGAAAACTTGTGAAGTCTTGAAGGAGACCTTTTCAAATATTTCACACTTTCACGTATATTAACAAACACATCTTGTATTTTAGTCAATCTTCAGAAAACTTGTGAAGTCTTGAAGGAGACCTTTTCAAATATTTCACACTTTCACGTATATTAACAAACACATCTTGTATTTTAGTCAATCCATCTTGAACCATAAGATGTAAAACATGTGCACAACAACAAATATGAAATATCTTACCTTTGAGATCTTCACAAGATCTCTTAGGTTTTTTACAACAACACCATTTGATGTTGCATTGTCTAGTGTAATAGTACACACTTTTCACTCAATCTCCCATTCACAAAGGCATTGAAAAATGCAATCAGCTATAGCAACTCTAGTGTGTGGAGGTGCTAAACCAACAAAGTTTAACACACACTTATGTAACTTCCATTTTGAATCTAAGTAAAATCATGTATAATGTAAATAGTCTATGGTTTGATTCGAAGTCCACAAAGCAATAGTTAAACTAATTTTATCAATGCTAACAAATGTGTCTTTCAACTTCTTTTCTTCAACAAATATTTTCATGTAATCATTCCTTAAAGTTACTCGCAATATTCTCTCAAAACGAGGATTAAGAGTTTTAAGTAACAAAACAAATAGCTCATGCTCAATCATTCTAAAGGAATATTCATGAACAACAACCATTTTTCCTAAAATTTCTCTAATTTTCTCCTTATTATACTTGTAAGTTGTAAGGCTACTGCCTAATCCTTCAGGACCCATTAGCTCAAGAACCAAAAGCTTTTATTTTTTGTCAACAACTTGACGACTAACACTAGTGTTCACATGTCTTAAAAAATGAGTAGTTGAACCTCCAACATTAATAGTCAACAACGCATTACAATAGTTGCATTTTGCCTTTCTAGCCCCATCTTTAAGCACCACCTCTGTGAACTTCGTCCAAACTTTTGACTTTCGCTTCTTTTCTTTTTTTTTCTGTGGATGATTTGTAGCTTCCTTATTTATTTTCCCTTTCTGGTTTAGTGATAATAGATACATTTTCATTTGTAGCAGAATTCGAAAAGGAATAGTATTTATTAAATATGTAGTAAATAAAACATAAATAAAACTAAAATAATAAAATACTAATAAAATAACAAAATAATAGCAATAACCATGTTATTAGGTCCAAATTTTCTCAATAATTAATTATTTCTCATATTATTTGCACAAACAGATTTAGTCGAAAATTTTTGAAAAGTTCATTCAACTGAAGGAGATAACTTTGTTCACATTTCTTATAGTCAATTTAAAATAATAGTATGGTTATACTGCTCCTGTTATCCATTTTATATTATGATATATATATATATATTTTTTTTTTTTGGGTAAATATGCTTTAAGAATGTTGTAATATTGTATATTGTATCTTTATGCAGGTCTGAATGGAAGAATATTATAATGCATTTGATTTAGAGAAGTTCTAACTATATACTTTCTAGATTAAGTTATCAGTAATATAATTATGCTATAGAAATAATAAGCAACCCCTTCAAGGAAATCATATAGTATAAGAACTATAAATATCAAAATTCTAAAACTTCATTTTTGCTAAGAAAAAGGTAAAGAAAAAAACCATAACTAATGAGAAACCCAAATAAATCAAGTTTATAGTCATAAATCTCTACATGAACATCATTCATATTTCCCTTCATTAATAAGCAATGTTTTTATGCTATAGAAATAATAAGCAACCCCTTCAAGGAAATCATATAGTATAAGAACTATAAATATCAAAATTCTAAAACTTCATTTTTGCTAAGAAAAAGGTAAAGAAAAAAACCATAACTAATGAGAAACCCAAATAAATCAAGTTTATAGTCATAAATCTCTACATGAACATCATTCATATTTCCCTTCATTAATAAGCAATGTTTAACAAATGCTTGTTGCACAAATTACAAATTGAATTTCAAAAAAATGATGTTTACAATCAAGTAAATCTAAATCAAATACTAATTGAGGGAAGAACAGAAAATTAAACCAAATGAATTTAAATTTATAATAAGAAAATTAACAACAAGAAAAGTTAAATCAAAAGAGAAATCTGACATTTTGGGTTATTTGTAGTCATTCTTTGATAATAAAGAATAATAAAGAAGAAATTGAAAGATTTATAGTCGTGCTTACATAAAGAATTGGCAGCAAGCTTAAAAAAAGTGAGATCTTTGAGTTTTTATTCTGCAGCAGAGGGAAGATTGCCACCACCATTCTCAACAATTTAGCAGTATTGTTACTCATTCCTTAGTCACTTACAACATATTGTCTAAATCTGAATCTTTCATTTGAAATTTGATAGTATTAGAATTCTATTTGAGTTGTAGTTTGCTTTACCTTTTTATCTCCTAATTTCTCATTTCTCTCTAACCGTACATCTCTTTTTGCATAGATAATTGGCAAAGGCACGGTAGGTAAAAGCAAAATATGCCACTTATATCCCATGCATCAACTAGTTATTTAAATAATTTACTTAAAAAAATCAGTAAAACTCGTGCACATCCGAGTTGAGTTTTTGTTTTTTCATGCTCAGCTCGTTTGTAGTTCAAGCTTATATTTTTGATCAAGCTCTGTTCGTGTACAATATGAATGGATTTGAACAAGATAAAAATCGAGCTGAGCTCGAGTTGAACTTGAACTACAAGGATCAAATCCTTCCGTCCCAGATATTCTATATAAAAAAAGAATCAGACCGATAGCTTAACCACGGGAAAAAAGAGAAACTTTTTTATGCACATAAGTTCAAAAGATGAGAGAATTAAGGATACCTATCAGAAAAACTAATCCAATCCATAATGATGTACCAGAAAATACAATATTTTTGTTACTTGACCAATCATCAGGAGAAGAAAAAAACAACGGATACACTAATCAGTAAGATTGATGAATTAGCAATTAATGCAAAAACAGCCAACTGGAAAGCAATAATCATGTTTTTAATCCTCCAAACTATCAACAAAAGAACTATACACCATTTGATCCCTTTCTTAGCTGCTATAAGTTAAAATAAAAAAGAATTTAATGGGCAAATACGTGAAAGTCTTAAGGTCAAAATATATATTTAGCTGTCGAAATTGATTTCATGCGTCATTTCAAATAAATAATAAGTTAATCCAATTTTATCATAAATTAACACTAAAATTAATTTATTAAAATTTATAATATTTTGTTTCAAAACAAAATGTATACTAAAATAAAAATAAAAATATTAAAATTAAGATTAAATAATTAAAGCCTACATTTTATCCTTGAAAATATGGCCGCGGTGCAGTGACATGCAATCTCATTCGGCCGTGGTCAAGTTCTCTTCATTATCTTTATCCAACCGTTACCGCACGCCAAACGCGCCCTTTCTGTTCCATTTCAAACACTATGCAATAAAGTAGGATTCTAACACTGCAGTATGTCATTTTCTTATAGATTCCCACACCCAAAAACCTTTCTCTAATAAAACCCACCGCCAACCGACCACACAACTCAAATATCTCTCGATGGAATTCGACGAAGAGGAAGACCCAGTCGCCCTCTTCATGTCTCTCGATGATTGGCAGGACTGCTCTTCTCAATCCTCCACCGAAACTTTCATGGTCGGCTTCGTTATCGCCAATATAGTGGGTCTCCGTTACTATTCCGGCACAATCACTGGCCGTGAATTAGTGGGTTTGGTCCGAGAACCTCTAAATGTTCATGATCAGAACGCTATCAAAGTCCTAAATACAAGATCGCTTCAGGTGGGTCACATTGAAAGGTCAGTTGCTTCTGTTTTATCTCCTTTAATCGACTCTCGTAAAATTACAGTTGAAGGTATCGTGGCGAATTCGCGAAGTAGTGGCAATAAGTTTAAAATCCCTTGTCAAATTCATATTTTTGCGAAGTTTGAGGATTTTGAGAGTGTAAAATCTGTCATTTCGCGCGGAGGGTTGGTTTTAATTTCAGAAATGGACCCAAGTTTTGGGTTATCAGAGGCTATGGTGGTTAAAGAAAAGAATAGGAAAAGCGGACTTAAAAGTTTGGATGAAATATTTAAGTTAGTTGACGACAATGTGAATAAGAAAGGGAAACTTGGGGCTCTAAAGCCACCCAAAGAGGTGATTAAGTCTAATCTTTTTGTGCACCAAAAAGAGGGATTATGGTGGTTGATGAATAGAGAGAATTCTGGAGAGTTACCTCCCTTTTGGGAGGAGAAAGATGGGGAATTTATGAACGTTTTGACGAATTATCATACAGATAAGAGGCCCCAGCCATTGCGTGGTGGAATTCTTGCAGATGACATGGGTTTGGGCAAGACTTTAACTTTACTTTCTTTGATTGCTTTTGATAAAGTTGATACTAGTGCCACTTTATGTAGAGACAATGTTGGAGAACATATCTGCGAGTTGGATGATGAATCAACTGTTTTGAGTGCTAAGAAGGCTAAGAGGGGTAGGCCGAGCACAAAGGCACCTCTAGGGCAAAAAAAACATAAAACTGAAAAAGGCCTTTTTGATAGCAATGTAAAGGGGAAATCTGTCTGTGTAACTGATAAGTCTTCTAGTGTTTTGGGTGTAAAGACTACATTAATTGTATGCCCTCCTGCTGTATTTTCAACATGGATAACACAACTAGAGGAGCACACTCAACGTGGATCATTCAAGGTGTACATGTATTATGGAGAAAGAACTAAAGAAGTTGAGGAGCTTAAGAAGCATGATATAGTGTTGACGACATATAGTACTTTAGCTAGTGAAGACTCTTGGGAAGACTCCCCTGTGAAGATGATTGAGTGGTGGAGAGTTATTTTGGATGAGGCTCATGTCATTAAGAATGTGAATGCTCAACAGACTCAAGCAGTTACTAATTTGAAGGCTAAGAGGAGATGGGTCGTTACAGGAACACCCATACAGAATGGATCCTTTGATTTGTTCTCCTTGATGGCATTTTTGCGGTTTGAGCCATTTTCCATCAAGAACTATTGGCAAAGCTTGGTACAGCGCCCACTTGCACATGGGGATAAGAAGGGGCTCTCACGATTGCAGGTAATATCATATTGCAGATTATTTTTATGCATATTATGCTCAGTTATATTTATAGCATACATATGGAATGATGTTGGATCAGGATTTCTTTGTTCTATGCAGCTGAATGTTTTGTTTTTTGAATGTGTTAAGGAAAGTCTATCCTTGCTATGTGCATAGCATTATCTTAGGGATTTCTTCCAAAATAGTCTAGGATATATATTCCTAAATAGTTTAGATCACTTGTATATAAACTTGTACCTCTTCACAAAATAACAGAATAATTTTCTGTCCTCATTGAAATGATTAACTCCATGGTTATGTTTTCTGTAGCTGTACAGAAAAATCTATTTTTTCTAGAGCGCAAAGAGATAGTAAGAGACTGTTATTTTTTCTAGAGCATAAAATAGAGAGTGATATATCGCCTCTGAAAGCAAGCTTTCAACATTTTATGACATCCATATTCTCCTTTTAGACCTTTTCTGTTTTCCATTAGTAATATGCATTAGTAAGGATGACTTGGAGAAATACTTTGTATAAAATAATTTCGGTTTACATTGTTTGAATTTATAATATACACTTAACCCCCCGTTTGGAATAAATGAATTCTGCAAAATTTTGTGGAATTCATTTATAAATCTAAATTTATGTTTGTGGTATGAAAAAATGAAGAATTTAATTGTATGAATTCAAATCTATTGATTTGAATATAACTAAATCAAATTTTACTATAATGGTGGAATATTCAAATGAATTCCACAAATTTAAACAACCCAAAGTTTTATGACAAAACTATTCATTTTTCTAGTCTAATAAAACTATTATGCAAGGATACTTTAAGAAATAAAAGCAAATGAATTTTGAATTTATTCTAAACATGAAAAATTCATTGATAAATGAATTCTAGATGGGGCATTATAGTCAATTATAAGAATGGCAACAAGTCAAATGTTCATTTCTAATAAACCAATATTAGTTATGAATTATGATGATAAAAAAATTGAGTAGTTGATTAAAGTGTTAGAACTCAAATAGTTTTAATTTGTTGCAGTTTAACTTAAAATTATATTTTCACATATGAATTTGAGTTATTTTGCAACTTTTTGGGTGTCATTCACCACATGCACCATATAATACCACAGCATCTTTGTTGTGATGATGATTGCAGCTGCAATTTAATACCATTTCCATTAAGGGTGTGTTTGGCATTCCTATTTGAGTTACCTTGGGGACAAAGCACTTTGTTGAAAATGTTCTTTTGTCTGGAGCACAAAAGAGACAGTTGATATATAGCCTCTGAAGTGAGATTTTAACTTTTTATAACATCTAGATTCTCCTTTTAGACCTTTTCCATTTTCTTTTATTAAGAGGCGGTAGTGAGGATGACTTGGGAGTAGTCAATTGAAGGGTTAGAACTTAGAAGTATTAATTAGTTGCAATTTAACTTAAAATTATATTTTCAAATATGAATTTAAGTCATTTTGTAACTTTTGGGCATTATTTCACCACATTCACTACATAACACAACATCTTAATTGTGATGATAATTGCACTTGCAATTTAATACGAGTGCCATTAAGGGTGTGTTTCGCATTGCTCTTTGAGTTGCCATGGGAAAAGAAAGCACTTGGTCAGAAATGTTAATTAGAGGTCATTAAAGTTTGTTTTTTAGTCATCATTATGCCAATTTTAAATGGAGGAAACACGAATGAACTTGGGATATAGGTAGTGCCTATGATCGTCTTGTTATTTTTACCCCTACTATTTCCCATACAATCTATTTAATTAATTAACTGCCCAACTTTTACTATTGTCTTTGTTCTTATTCATCAATACAGTGTCCTGTCTGTGGAAATCAGATACTAAGAGGTGGCAAACTAGGTCTATCAAAAGGCAGTTAGAGCCCTAAAGCCTATTAAATATGTTCTGCAGTTTGCATTTTAAGAAATGTAATTGAGGAGTTTTCTTTCCTTTATTATATTTGTTTTAAGCAACAACTTCATATGATTTTAGGTTTTAATGGCAACTATTTCTTTGCGGAGAACAAAGGACAAGAGTTTAGTTGGATTGCCATCTAAAACTGTTGAGACATGCTACATAGAACTTGTTGGAGAAGAACGGGAATTGTATGACCAGATGGAAGCAGAAGCCAAGGGTGTTCTTCAAGGCTTCATTAATGCTGGTAGTTTAACGTGCAACTATTCAACTGTACTGTGCATAATTTTACGACTTCGCCAGATATGTAATCATCTGGCATTATGTCCTTCAGATCTGAGATCACTACTTCCTTCTAACAGTATTGAAGGTATAAAATTACTTCCCCTAGTTAATGGAATTTATTTACTCAAATTCTGATGAGTTTTCGTGGTCTTTAAGAAAGCGAAGGGGCCCTCCTTCGTTGAGAGAACTTCTCCCACTTAAAGGAGAACCTTCTTCAGGTTTTTTCTTGCGCAATTTTGGTTAAGAAACTAGAACTATTGTGCTTAATTTTGACTTATTTTGGCCAGTCATATGTACACACACGCACGCGTGCTTGGATTTCCTTGAAACGATTGTTTAAATTCGTCTCTTGCTCTTTTGGTCCTGGAGATTGCATTTTCCTTATTGGGGTGTGTGTATTTTTTCTGACTTAGCTTCAAGAGGAGAAAATCCCTGAGTCTATTATCTGCGGGCCACTTTGGTTTGCGCTAGACATAGTAATTAAAGGTGCAAGCGCACTAAGGCGCAAAGGGCTGGCCTCTAGGCGAAGGCGAGCGCCTGAGTGAAGTGAGGCGCAAAAAAAAAAAAATGTGAATGAAATACATAAATCTGAAAAATATATTTTAAGATATCAATCAAGAAAAAAAAAAAAGTAGAAAACATGGAAAGAAACACACATAAATCAGGAAAAAATGGCAACATGGCAAGTTATATTTTAAGATATTAAAGTTAAGACAGAAAAGATCATAATCAAAAAAATGAAAAAAAAAAAAAAAGAAAAGAAATAGAAAGCAAATATCGGAAGAAAAATTGAAAGAGTTATATCTGGATTAAGACAGAAAAAGATCATAATCAAAAAAAATTGAAAAAAAAAAAAAAAAAAAAGAAATAGAAAAGCAAATATCGGAAGAAAAATTTGAAAGAGTTATATCTGATGGAATGGGGCTAAAGACTAGATTGCCAAGAGGTGGGAGTGCCTAGATGGAGTGGAGGTTGGATCACAAAGAGTTATATCTGGATGGAATGGGGCTAAAGACTAGATTGCAAGAGGTGAGTGCTAGATGGAGTGGAGGTTGGATCACAAAGCACATCACCTGTTTTTCTGTCACATTTTATTTCTGTTATATTTATTTATTTATTTTGTGTAAGTTGATGTTGGCTAGATAGCTTTATATTGAAAAAAAAAAAAACCCCTAGGTGACTTGTTCTGGAAAACAAAAAATAGAAAGGCACGCCTTTCTCGAGCCTTAGGCGCAAAATGGCGCACGCCTCTACCCAAAGGCGATAGCTTGAGTGAAGTCGCCTGCCTCAGGACTGTTGAGGCGCAAGCCCTTGAGCCTTAAGTAAGGCGCGCCTGAGGCGTGCTTGAGGCGCAACTTTAATAACTATGGCGCTAGATTGAAAATTGCGCACAATTCCTATAATATGATTCTGTTTTTTGTTCGGTATACAAAGGGACACAGACTTATATTTGAATAGCCTGCTTAGTTGCTTTTAGATGAAAATGGAGTCTACATTCGAGTATTTAAAGATTTATCATTAAATTGTAGTGATATTATATTAAAAATGAAATTGGACTAGGAACCTTCAAATAGAAGACAATTGTTTCCATTCCCTTCCCATCTCAAAGCAAGCTAAATGTGCCCTTTGATGGATATATGCATGTGGGTGCAGGGGAAGGGAACGTATTATGCTCAGTCTCATACTACCCAGGAACTTGGGATTAAGCTTGGTTTAAGGTATGGTTGGATAACATTGTAGGTTTTCTATAGCAAAAATTTTGCGGACATCTTGATCTTAAGATTCAAATACACCTTGGTCTGTTAATGTTTAGGATTTGAAGTAGTGGTTACACAACCTCTGTTGCTCACTTTTTGTGCGGTTTATTATACATTATTGTAAATGTTTCTTCCATGTTACTGGTTGGTCTTTTGATTCTTACTACTTGTTTCAAAGACTGTTGAAAGTGTTCTCTAATGGACCATGTGCATCTTGATACTCAACAAGTGGGTACAAGGATATACTCAATATTTCCTTTCTTGTTGATGTTCAACAATAATTTCTGGTTTAGGATTTGATTGTGATTACATCTTGAGACTTACTTTTCTGGACATTGTGAAACTTAACTTTAAAGGAAGAACTTTGGGAGCTTGTGGTTTGAAGTGCGGGTAACAAATCAGATCCCTATGGGGGATAGTTTTTCTGAAGTGTTTTCAGTGTTTCAAAGGGGAAGGCTGCTTGCATGTAACATCTCATGGAGGCTGCAGTATGGGAGGCTCATCAAGTTCAATACTCCTTTTAGCGAAGTTGATGTTCTGTTAATCTGTGAGAATGCTCTTCTCATATGGGGAAAATAGTCATTGGGATATCTTGTTCTGCATTTCTGCAAAATCCTATCTAAATCTATCAAGAACTTATGGCATTGATCAGTGTGAAGAACAAAAGGATCATAATGTTGAAAATCTCATTAAAAAGAAAAAGGCATAGCATAAGTGGAACTTTGGAAGATGTATTATTCTTTTGGTACTCTCTAGCATGCATTAGTCACTATTTGGTAATACCTGGTCAATCAGGTTTACATGTGTAGTCAATAAGCTGTTTCTTGCATCTATGGGGTACTTTAGCTGAAAGTATGTATAGATTGTTCATATCTACTTTTGGCTGTTTTCATCCTAGTTACTGGATTTTTGAATATTGTGGTATGTTTTCATCCTAGTATGTATAGATTGCATCTATGGGGTACTAAACATTCAGTAATTGATTCCAAACAGATGTATCCAATAACCCTGAGTTGCTCAAAAAGGTGGTTGCTGTGCTACAAGATGGTGAAGATTTTGACTGTCCAATCTGCATTTCTCCGCCAACTGATGCTGTAATCACACGCTGTGCTCACATCTTTTGCCGAGCGTGCATCTTGAAAACCCTACAGCGCACAAAGCCCAGCTGCCCACTCTGTCGTCGTTCTCTATCGACATCTGACCTGTTCTCAGCTCCTCCTGAATCATCTCAAACCGAAAACATTGAAATATCTTCTTCAGGAACACATTCAAAGGTCTCTGCTCTCATGAGGCTGCTCATAGAAGCAAGAGGTGAAGATCCAACTGCGAAGTCAGTAATATTTTCGCAATTCCAAAGGATGCTGATATTACTCGAGGAGCCACTAAAAGAAGCTGGTTTCAAGATCTTGCGGTTGGACGGGTCAATGAATGCAAAAAAGAGAGCTCAAGTAATAAAAGAATTTGGGGTTCCTGGACCTGATGGTCCCACTGTTCTGCTTGCAAGTCTTAAGGCTTCAGGAGCTGGTATAAACCTTGCAGTTGCTTCTAAAGTCTATTTGTTTGAACCATGGTGGAATCCAGCAGTTGAGGAACAAGCAATGGACCGTGTCCACAGGATTGGACAAAAGCAGAATGTGACAGTTGTGAGGTTGATAGCTCGAAACAGCATTGAGGAAAGGATACTAGAGATGCAAGAAAGGAAGAAGAAACTGGCAAGGGAAGCTTTTGGAAAGCGGGGAGCAAAAGCGCGAGAGGTTAGTGTAGACGACCTTCGTGCACTCATGTCCTTATGAGTGACAACACAAATATGTGCACATACTGGTTCTTTTGAAAACTTAAATGCCTTATACTGGTGTATATCTGTATCATTTTGAAGGCGTTTTTTGAGTCGAGCACCTATTGCCATAGCAGTCAAATAGAATAGGATGCTAATACACATTTCACTGATGCTAATGTAATTAGTAACCGGGGGAAGATACGGTCAGTGTATGGAAGACTCGATTTCAGTTCGAATCTAACTGCTGTTTCATTCATTTTTCTGAAACCGAGATCAGAGCTAAATGACCGATATAGGAGATGTTCGTGGAACCAGAAATTGCCTTCCTTTTCAATGGGCAATTTTTACAATGTACAAACTACTGCAGAATTTACGATATATGAAACCATGAAGGATGCTCATACCGCCAATAAAATTTATTTAACGGCCCTATTTTCCTAACGAAACAATCAACTATCAAGTATTTCCTACTAAACTTACATAATCTATTAAAATTCTCTTTTTTCGCAATTATTTCTTTATGTTAGCATCGGATAAAAAGTCTAATTTTAAATTTAAAAGAATATAATAATTAATAAATGAAACTCACTCCATCTCATGTTGAACCTGGTGAACTGTGCAAGTGAAGAAATTCTTACACTCTACCACTTAGTCATAAACTCATTCCAACGAAATAAAGTCACATCAGCAATTTTATTTTTTCTAGCTTGTTAATTTTTTCACGTTTCCCGTTTGATCCTTTTTTCTAGATTATTTCTAGTTGATTTTTTCATGTTTTCCATTTGTTTCATGTTTGGTTAGAGATAGAAATGTAGTTGTGTTAATTTAGGAGTTACTGACGTAGCATTATTTTATTTTATTGAATGAGAAAAAAAAAAGCTGTTAAATATGAATTTATTTCATTTTGTAGGTGTATAAATGACGTAGTAGACTAAATCTACCTAAGAATTTTTCATCCACTCAACATTATTTCAAGAACCACTAATGCTTTGTTTGGACGAAGAGATGATGTAAAATGAGAGTATAAAATGTTTTACCTCCTTATTTTACACTCTTTATTTGGTTTGGAGGGAAAATAAAAAGAACGAGAATAAAATAGCTTTATTTTACTCTACTCTAGTTGCACATTTCTTGTTTTATTTTCCTCCCTTTTTGGAGAGTTAATTGGATGAAGTAAAATAAGATTATTTTATATGTACCCATAATTTTTACATCCTTCCCAAACAATATATTTTTATGAATTCCACGTCACTTATTATTTTATACCCAATCAAACATAATGTAAGAATTTCTCATCTACCCAATACTATTTCAAGAACCATATCAATAAAGTTCTATTAATTAATAAAGAACAGAAAGATAAAATGTTATAAATATATTAAAAAGATGTCAAAAGCTGAAGTGAGAAAATACTACCTCACTACCTTTATATAATAATAATAATAATAATAATAATAATAATTATTTTGACTATTGAGATAGACCCTCAAATTTAGATGTGGACAAAATCCATTATTTGCAAAAGTAAATATTGCATTATTTATTTATTTATTTATTTTAATTATCCAATCATGATCAACGTGAATGATTAGAACAAAGCATAGGATAGGGAAAAACACGTGTTAGCTGTTCTAAATTCAATGCTACTTCATTGACACGTGGTGAGGCTCGGACTCTGACGACTGACGATTAATAGGATAGAATAGAATCTCCATGTCGAATACAGTAAACACCATAATTTTATTGGAGAAACACGTGTCAATATTTGGAAACCACATTTTAATTTTGTAGAAGCCGTTGTACACCAGCATACTTCAACCTCTTTGGGAGGAGAAATCAAAACCCAGCTGCTTCTTTTCTTACAAAATATAAAAATAATATCCATGGCCAAATAAATTTTAGATTTCAAGCAAAAATTTTAATTTTAATTAGAAAATGTAATACTGAAAGGATGCAGAATGATATAAATATTAAAAATTTTAAATTATCAGTTTATTCCAAAGTCTTATAATTTATTATATTCAATATAAACTTTAAATTAAAAATTTATCATTTAAAATGAATTTTTTTAGCTTAATTGATATTTGTAATTTTAATATTTTATATGTTTTACTAAGGAAAAAAATCATTACCCACCGCCAGTTACTAGTTGATCTAGTAGGATGAGGTGCTGAATCTCTCAAGCAATGTTTAGACTTTGGAGAAAAATAAAGTTGTGGAGTTATATACTGAATGGTTTATCAAAAAAAAAAAAATCATTATACATCATATTGTAGAGAAATTTTCACTTCATGATTTTTAAAAGTAGGTTTTTACTAAATAAAATAGAAGGCAACTTTTGAACTTAAATTCAGATAGATGTCAGCACATGTTATCAATTTTATTTAAAAAGAAAACGAAGTAAATCAAAAAATCAAATCAACTAAGTTTTAGAACTTAACCAAATCAATTAGTTTTGCAAGTATTTTATTATTATTATTATTATTTGAACTTCACATGGAACCATGAATGAGCTCAACAAATTTTGAGTTTATCCATGTAAGTAGAAGCAAAATTTCTTATAAGAAAATCGACTCAAATCAGTTTAAATTCGAAGTTTAAATAACTTTAAATTTAGAAAGGGTAAAACTCTCTCTTTCTTGAGGAGACTTTTAAACTAAAACTCCTCTTAAGTATAGCAGAGATCATTAATTTTGGTCGTAGACCTTCTTGATCACCCTTTGACTCCAACCAAATACGTATATTATACAGTTCTTCCATCTTGTTAATTATATATGTTGTTTCTCTCATTTAGTCTATTTTTAATTACTCGTTGTGGGATAAATAACTTAAAAGTAAAAAACATACTTGAATATATTTATATGAATTTATAACATATATAAATTATTAAATCAACTAAATATTTATTATTTTTTGTTGGCTCAAGGGTCAATTTTATCTTGAGATTTTGATAATTATACAAAATAAATAAATTTAATATTCTTATATGTGATAATATTGTTTTATGCACATTTTTTAAATATGGAAATTATTAAAGAAATGAAATTCCTACAACCCAAGACTTTTGTTTGAAGACCATGAAAATTAATGAAGATATTTTCTATTGGTTAGTAATATAATAAGTCTTAGGAAATTATTATAGGATAAAGAGTAAATGATTTTATAAGCACAAATCTATTTTATCTCTCTCAAAATTATTTTAAAATGTTTTTGAATAAATTTATTAAGAAAATATAGCCAAAATATTTAATCTTCACATTTCCCATCTAAAATATCTTTGGAGTAAAAATCTTTGATGGCTATTAAATGAAATTCTGCAAAAAGCAGTTTCTGATTTAATACAGCTATATATTTCTGATATAGCTGGCTGTTTCTGCTGTAAAAGTTACACTGTTTTCTAAACTAAACCTTTCACCTCCAAACCTTACGTGTGTGAATATTAAAAATGGTCTGACAGCCCTTTTAATTGCAACCCATGCATTGTCTTTTTGTTTAAAAATGTCATAAACTTCATTGCTAACGTTAATATTAACGTTAATTTCTAAGAGATTATCATCTTTTCATATAAAAACCCTTTCCTCTTGTAAAAAGAATGAGTTTTGCGAGTAAGAGTCTATTGTTCAAAGTTTAAGTCTCTCAAACCTCTATCTTCAATCCCCCTATTTCTTTTCGTCTTTTTGCTTCAAGAAAAATTTTTAAGAGAATAGAAAATTTATTAACAACATTTTCTGAAGAACAATTTTGATCTTTAAATCTGTTTTCTAAATCCATTTTCTATTCTTCCTGTGTTATATTTGAATTTCTCTCTGTCTATATAGATTCTGTAATCTGTTGTAGACAGTTTATTAACAACATTTTTCTGAAGAAACAATTTTGATCTTTAAATCTGTTTTCTAAATCCATTTTCTATTTCTTCCTGTGTTATATTGAGTGCTTATATTTGCATTTCTCTCTGTCTATATAGATTTTGTAATCTGTTGTAGACAGGCTTTTTACATGAAAAACTTTTGTGTAATAGCTTAGGAGAAATCTTTGGTGGTATAGGTTATCAAGCGACATTCTCTTTGTGTGAGATTCTAATGCCTTGATGTGAGTTTCTGTTTTCTCCAAAAACAGAAAGGGTTGAGGTTGACTAGAACTTTTAGAAAATCTAGTGGGACAAAGATTAGATCTATGTGTTGATCTATTTCCTTGTATTGTCGGTTTGTCTCTTACCCTTGAAAAGAGATAACATAGTGGAGGATCTCAAGATGAGTCTTAGGAGTGAATGTAGGCGAGTTTAGTCCGAAACCACTATAAATCTCTGTGTTTTATCTTCTTTTATTTTCTAAAGTTCTCCTTGATATATTCTATTTACACAATGTTAATTTGTTTAAGAATGGAAAGTTGTTGCCGAGTTTCTGATTCTAAACGTGAATAAAGCTTTATCTTTGTAGAAACATTAGAACTCTGGATTGTATTGTGATTATACCAAAGTTCTAATCTGTCTTTCTATACTTCAGTGTAATTCACAATATAATTATAAATCAGTTTTTCTAATCTTGGCTTAAAGCTTTTGTGAACCAGTTTTTCTCTAAAATGCAATAACTGTTTTTTCACCAGAGTCTTTTCTAAAATAGCAATAAGCTTTGTTGAAGCTGTTCTAATCGCAACAAACTGTTCTTCAACAGAGTCCTTTCTAAAATTGGCTTAAGCTTTGGTAAAGCTGTTCTATCACGATAGCTGTTCTTCATAGAGTCTTTCTCAATTGCTTAAGCTTTGTGAAGGCAGTTCTAAATACAATAATTGTTCTTCAACAGAGTCTTTCCTAAATTGCTAAGCTTTGTAAAGCTTTCTAATCGTGATAGCTGTTCTTCATAAGAGTCTTTCTAAAATTGCTTTAAGCTTTGTGAAGCAGTTTTTAAATACAATAAATTTCTTTCACGGAGTCTTTCCAAAAATTGCTTAAGCTTTGTGAAAGCAGTTCTAAATGCAATAATTGTTCTTCATAGAGTGGTGTCCTAATTCTTGCAATAAGCTTTAGGTGAGGAAGTTCTAAAACTTGAAATTAACTCAAATGCTTTCTAATTCCGCTGCAATAGAATTCTGATTTTTATTTTTGAAAGTTAAATTTTTAGAAAACCCAATTCACCCCCCTTTTGGGTTGTGCAATACATAAACGGGACCCATAATCTGGTATCATAGCTCTTGGCTCTTGACTTACCGAAGCTTAATAGCTTGAGAGAAAAGATCCCATGGCAATCCCACTTCCTCTTACATCTTTAGAA